AAACAAATACTTTATAAGTGCTTGGAAATTTAATAAAAATACAATGTAAAACTCCAGAAGAAAAATCACCATATGGCTTTCAGTGGCCTTGTATCCAACTCAAAACATCCCAAACAGATGTTTTAATAGAAGTCTAACCAGTTGATACCCAAGTGCCAACCCAGCCTTTTACAAGATGAAGTGCTTCTCATAAATTGGCAGAATAAACCAGTCAAAATAAAACAACTCTACTTAACAGAGTTCAGTAGGACTACCACTGGCTAAACCACAGCCTGGCAATGCCCCTGAGTGTCTGCTAGTGCTGCCTCCCACATCTGGGTCCCAGGAACCCAGGGCTCTGGTTCAAGATGCTGCACCTCAGTGGAAATTTCCTCAAGAGCAATGCTGGCCTCAGTTCAAGATTATCTCAAATACAAGTCCAGTGTAAAGTTGGTAAGAGGCGATACTAGGGAAGGCGGTTCTGGAATGAGCTTATCTCGCCAGCTATCATAGCAATGCATTAAGCATGTGCTGTGGAAGCATATATAACATATTCTTACAGAACCCGAAAATTTTATTTAAGGGACTCAAAAGAAAATTTCATCCTAGCAGTCAGCCAAAAAACAGTTCCTACAGCTTTTAAAATCAGGTATATTTTCATTGAAGTCTCTTCTTCCCGCTGGAATACCTGTGTGTCCTGTAGTTGAGACTCGAGACCAGCTGCATCCTTAGCAAATTTAATACCCTTCTTCTCTGCTTCTTCCAAAAGGGTTGAGACATTATCCAACTCGTTCTGCAAGGAGAAATAAAGATGAGATTCAGTTCCACAGTAAGAAAAAAAGATCTAGGATCACAGCTCAGAGAACACAAACAGAGTAGTGCTTGGGAGGTGTGCACGTGTGTGAATCTTAACTGCCAAACTCAATGTTAAGAAACACTGCCAAGAGACTGGCCTTTCCCAATAGTCCTCAAATTAGTGGGTGCTAAAACCTACTCCACAGATACCTCAGTGTGGTCTCTTCTCGATGAAAGGACAGCGAGCACCACAATGCCAGGGCGCCCTCCTGTCGGTGATGAAACACCTGCTTTGACTTTTACCAAGAATAGACAAAAATGAAACCACATCTGTTGAAAGTGGCTGCTATTCATTTTAGTGTGAAAAGGTAGTGCAGGCCAGCAGGATTTTTTTTTTTTTATTCTTTTCATATCAATCTGCATTAAGCAAATGCTCTGGGGATACATATAATTTACATTCTTACAGAATTTGAAATTTTTATTTAAGGAACTCAGAAGAAATATTCAGCTGGGCATGGTGGTACATGCCTTTAATCCCACCACAGGAGGCAGAGGCAGGCGGATCTCTAGGAGTTTAAAGCCAGCTTAGTCTTCACAGCAAGTTTCAGGCCAGCCAAGGGTATAGTAAGACCCTGTTACAAAGATCAAAAGAACTGGGGCCGGAAAGATGTCTTAGCAGTTAAAAGCACAGGCTGTTCCTGAAGGCAGGTGAAAGAGCAAGACTACAAGGTGTACTCGATGATGACACTGAGAAGCCTAAGAAGCTTCCTTCCATCTCCAGGTCAGATGGAAGCAGGGGAGGAAGAGTCAGGCTGGAACCTTGTCTTTGAATGGTAGGCCCAGGGTCAGTCTGCTACCCTCAGCATATCATATACTAACAGAGGGTAAACAAAAAGTACAGGAACCCTTGGGGGAGATGTATGCAGGGGACAGTGCCATAGAAGTTAGTCTAAACTATAAGTGCTTAAAGCTACAGAAACCTTGAATGCAGGCACTGGAGCCTCACAGGGAAGGCCAGGCCAGGGAATTACAGCTCCAACCCCATTTCTCTCAGAGTCAGAGCTCACTAACCTCCATCTCTCAGGGAACCTTGTGGTAATTGGGTTTGACAACCATAGGTGATTATAGACTGTGAAATCCTATTGTTGAAGGGTACCTCTATCAGGATGGGGCTGGGGCAGGGAGGGCCAGATATCTGGCCACTTGCTAGGGATGCCACAAAAACTCCATTCCATGTCTGGCTTGGCACAGATGACAGAGGACAGACTGGCTCCAGATGAATGTCCTGCCTACACACAAGACAAAGTTGTCTAGTTGACTTCTCTATGGGCCTGTGCCCCCAAGTTCTTTAGGTACACTGTCTTGTGCAGCCCACAGGCAACTTACGTTCTTCCCCACATCGTCTTTGGAGCTCATCAGGTCTTCCATGTCTGCTCGGAGCTGCTTATTCTGCCTCTCGAATTCTTCCTTGGCCTCCAAGGCCTCCTCAAGAGCCCGAGATAGGGAGAGGGCTTTGGTTTCTTTCTCTCTAGCTTCTGCTTCAGCCCGGTCCCGTTCTTCTGCATAGCGAGCAGAGATGTTCTTCTCTTCTGCTAACAGCTACGTGCCAGAGCATAAAGCAAAAACAGCATTCACTGTGGGGCTCCTTATTGCTAAGAATACTACTACAGGTTGAACATCCCTGATATGAACAACCAAAGCTTTCTAAGTGTTGACACGATGCCACAAGTAAAACAAAATATGATATAGGCCATGAGCACCAGGCATGTGAAATAAATTTTAGACATGGGTTGTATCCCCACAATATACCATTATATAGATGAGCATATTCCCAAATCAGAAAAAGTCCTGAGTCTGAGATGGTTCCAGTCACAAGTACTTTGGTATAAGGAATATTCAACTGTGTGAGATTCACAGGTATTCTCATCTTTCTTCTGCTTTCTGATCTTTATATAAATATATATAGCTTTTAAATTTGAAAAAAAAAGAGAGAGACCTTTGCCAGGAGGAAATGTTGTACAGGACCTCAGGATTTAGGACATGAGATGTAGGTGTCCCACCTGATCGAACTTCTTCTGCTTCTTTTCCAAGTTGGAGACGATCTGGCGCTGATGGTCCAGGTCCACCGTTAAGTCGTCTAGCTCCTGCTGCAGGCGGTTCTTGGTCTTCTCTAGCTTGTCATAAGCCAATGCCTTCTCCTCCAGCCGCTGGCTCAAGGCCTCCACATCCTTCAGAAGCTTCTTTTTGGCTTCTTCCAAACTCTCGATTGTTCCCAAGTCATCGTCTACTTTCTTCTTGGTCTCAGCCAACTAGGTTTTAGGTACGGAAAACAAAACAAATGCAGGTCAATGATATAAGAATGAAACTGTTTTTTCTTTAAAATTTATTATTATTATTATTTTTTTTGGTCTTTCTGAGACAGAGTCTCCCTGAGCCCCAGCTGGCCTGGAACTCACTATGTAGATCAGGCTGGCCTTGAACTCACAGAGATTTGCCTGCCTCGCCTCCCGAGTGCTGGGATTAAAGACATGCACCACCATGCCCAGCAATTTATTATTTTTAATTTTTATTTTATGTGTATGTGTGTATTGCCTGCATGTAGGTAAGTGCACCCGTGTCATGCAATGCCCGCGGAGGATAGAAGAGGCTGTTGGATCTCCTGGGACTAGAGTTACAGACAGTTGTTAGCTGCCGTGTGGGTTCGCTTCTGCAAGAACAACCAGTGTTCTTAACCATTGAGCCATCTCTCCAGCCCCTAGAATTGCATTTTATACACTTCTGCAACATGTCCTCCCCAGGATGTGAATCCCTACAAACTAGTATATAAAGGACTTGCTTTTCTCTCAAATTTTTTTAACAGTGCAGCGATCATGATCATCATAGATACATGAATTCACCAGTGATGAGGCTCCTCTGACCTACCCACCCTTTGCCCCTCACACACACAGATACTCTGGCCCAACACCCACCCTAGAGCCCTTATCATCCCTTCATGGGAGTACACAACTCCATAGTACTCCAGTGAATACAGTAGGGCCTTAGGGAGACAGACACACCCCTGAAGGTGACTGCATCTTACGCACCTGCGCACCCAGTGTTCTCAAGCAAGAAGACCTCCAGGGAATGACACCATGTTTGAGAATTTCTTAACAACTCATGCTCCTTGAAAACAGAAACAGCATTCGCTCCCACCCCCTGGCTGATGTGAGCATTTGGGGGAGTAATTTCAGCACACAACCATGGCATCAGGGGAGCAGTCAGAGCACCCAGCTATGGCAAGGACTCAAAGTTCTCACTGCCATTGATTGGGTATGAGGACTGTACTGTGCTTGCATTGCAGGTCAGAGGGCACATGCTGTTGTAAGGGTTGGAACTTTTGGGGGCTATCTTCAGGCGTCCACTCTTACATATGATGCTGTGGCTTGACTCTGAACCCCCCACAGGCTCATGTTTTGAAGCTTGCTCTCCAGCTGGTGGCACCATTTTGAGAGGCTGTAAACTTTGTTTAGGCTGCAGGATGTGGTTGGCTGAAGTGCCCTATGCTTCCTGGTTTGCCCAGATGTGAACTCCTGCCACCACATGCTTTCTCCACTACAAAGGAGCGACTCCACCAAGCCTCCTGCCAAGATGGACTGAGCCATCAGAAACCCTGAGCTCAAGCAAACCTGTCCTCCCTTATTTTACTTCCAGCAGGTATTTTGTCACGTGCCATAAAAGTTACTGATACACACAACAATTAGGATTGTTTTGTTAAATAGGTGAACAGTATCTACAGCAGTTAACAGTAGCCGAGGAGGGAGAAGCATTTTCTTCAGTGACGTAGCCACTAGTCAGGGTGCCCATGTTGTAATTAACCCTCATGCATGCTCCTGTAAGTAACCCTAATTAAACTCATCAGATCACACACAAAGACATTCAAGTAGAGGGGGCCAAGTTGGGAAGATCAGCAGAAGTTGAAGGATGACGAGACAGGGTAATGAGAGTGAACATTATTAAACTATATATAAAATTATACCCACCTATGAAAATGTCATAATGAAAGCCTTTATGTATAATAGATGCTAATAAAATGTA